GCCCTGCCTTGATTCTAGGTGGTAAGTTGTGGGTGCACAATATTCTTGCTTGTAAATATCACATCTATTTCCATTCAGGAGTCAGTTCCCTGTACTGAAACAACGTCACTAATAAATCGCAATGATTGTAGAGCTAGAGCTGATGTCCCCCTTCACCCATTACATACCTTTACTACCATGTATATATGTGTGCAAGATAAAATGGTCTCTTGAGTACTTTCTGAAGGTGAAACAACAGCAGTTTAAGAAACAAGCGTCTTTACCAAACCAAATGTAATATGAAATACAAGAGATGTTGTATTATTTCATTTGTGAGAAAAAACAAAAAGGGGAAAAAAAAAAAAACAAACAAAACAAACCAACCCCAAATCCAAAATAAACCAAAAAAACCCCACCAAACAACTAAAACCAGCAAAGAACGTCTTCCAACTCAGCTACCTCCACAGATCCTTATTTCTCCTTCTGTTCCTACCTGGTCTCAAGTCACGCTGCTTGTTCGAAACACTATGGCTAAAATCAGGCCAATTAGGTCACTGTTAGGAAAAAAAAAAAACCACCTTCCTTGTATTTAGCAAAAACCACCAAAGACTAATTATTAGTTATACTAATGTTAAAAATCATAAAACCAAACAAACTTAGGCATTTCTCTGCATACAGCCTTTAAAATTGAGATCTAAAAATACATAGACAGACAACAAGCAGACCTCAACAATTTTATCAGCGGTTGATTTATTTTGGCTTTCTGCTCTCCCTGGTCGCAGTTCAGTGCAACCCATAAATAATTTAGGCCAGTGAAGGAGATTGAATTTTTGAGCCCAGAACAGTAATTGAGGAATTGAACAGCCTGGAGACTGCAATACCGTCTCCAGGGACATAAGCCTTTGGACCTATTAGCAGCTGTCTATATTGCTTTTCCAGCCATTGACACATATGACCATGTCAACATACTGATTTATATTTCTTTGTGTCGCAAAAGGACAGATCTTGTACGTGTTCTGGGCTCCATCATGCTGTTACTTAAAGAGTACCTCAAGAATATCTCAGACTGAAAAGTCAGATCTTTCAAAACTACGGGAAGGCCCAGCTTCCTGTGAAGAAAATAAACCTGCACCAGTTCAGCACAACTTCATTACACAGAAAGCAGTAATTTTCACCTTTTCCACAGAGTATTAGTCAGCACTTGCAAAGGGAAGACTGAAAGGGAAGCCTGGGAAGGTTGTTGCTTTTTTCTTGAAACAAACCCAAGCAAAACAACAGCCCCTACCACCACCCACCACTTCACTGTTCTCAGGATTAAAAACTGACAAGAAAACAAGAGACTCCGCAGACAACTGAAGCAACAAGTGGAAGATTACAAAACCAACCCATAACCAAAGGCAAAAATAAGTATCTCCAGCTCTTACTCTGTCTGAGGACACGGAAACGGCCTGAGCACAACCGCGAGCCTGTGAGGTCCATGAGCTCTCGTGGGCACAGCTCCTCCCAGCGCAGCCTCAGGGCCTCTTCCCCTCAGGAGCGAGGCCCTGCCCTGCCCTGCCTGCCCTGCCACCAGCCTTTGGTGGCAGCTCCCTGGGCGCTCCCACCACATAGCTGCTGCTCCACCTTCGGTACACACACACACACACACACACCCCTGATCCACAGCTCCATACACACAAATAAACACTTCTTTCCCTCCCTAACTCGCCATCCCACAAAACGTAAACCAAACGGTCTAAAATGGCGCCATTCGGCACGGCCCACGCGCTTTCCGGGCGTGACAAATGGTTCCGCACACACCACCCCGAGCAGTCAGGTTTTGGAGAGTTACGATGACAATCACATACCAAAAAAAAGAGTAAAACTTGATAAAAGATCCCAAAGGCACCTCTGAGGGCTCAGGGCAGTGCTGCAACCTCTCAGGGCCACAGGCCTGCTCAGGGCCCTGCAGTCAGAGGCAGTGAGGCAGTAGGCACCAGGTTACTGTGCCTACTACAAGGTTAAGCTTCTCCTGAAAACAAAGCCAGCATTTAACTTGAAATCATTAAAGTGATGGATTAAAAAGGAAAAGGGGAAATATGAGAAAAAGCCAGTTAATAAATCACCATTAAAATCCACATTTCCACGTTTTGCACAGTCAGAAAAACACATCTGTTTTTGTTTTGCAAGAAAAGATGACGGCAACTGAAACTAAACAGCATTTCTTAAAACTAGGGTATCACATTTGTACTGATTGAGCCCATGATACTTTGTTTTGAAGGGCTCCCAATGGCATCAAGTACAAACACGAAACAGCATTTGTTGGATCTAGTAAATGCCAAGCAAGACAGACTGTATACTAGGATTAAGCACTACCTGTTATTCATACATGATTTCTCTGATTAAATGGTGACTCAAATGGACACATCATCATCATCAGTCTTGTAACAGACTGTACTCACAGCATCTTGTGCTCCATTCCTACAAGATCTCAATACACACAGGATCAGTGACGGGGACATATGTCACCAATAGAGATCTCTATGAATAATGATGTGCTGCTCATAAAATACCATCTCTCTGATGTGCTCTGGGGGGAACTGATGGAAGGTCCTGCTTCCCCAAACGACTGGGCACTGATCAGCCCCACGGGCAGGCAATGGACAGAGGCTCCCTGTTTGCACATCACCTGCACACCACCCACTCCTTCGCAAGGCAGCATCTGAGCTAAAGCTGTTCAAGTGGAATGAGAAATGTGTTTACTTCCTGATATTTGGCAGTGTTTTTCCATGACCACCAGAATACCGCTCAGCTGGGACATTTTCTCTCCAAGCCTTATAAACAAAATGCAAAACCTGAAAGAATTTTCAGCTTTGGCTTAGTTGAAAGTTTTCATCCTCAGGACGCTAAGAAAACAACAGTTCTCCATCAAAACGTCTCTGAAGAACAATTCCCGTTAGAAATGTGGTTGGACAGCTAAAAAGAAAAACCCTGACTCTTTCTCAGCTCAGCAGCTCCTCAGGAAGATCTCTGCAGCTGGTTATGCAGGGATGGGCAGGATGGAGGGTAACTAGCCCCATGTTGCCCAGATGCAGTTCTTCCCCCTGTCACCATGTGCTGCCTCAGCAGCATCCTGCTCCAGCTGACACAGACAAGAGGACATCATAGCAATCAAATTAACATACAAACACTCCCACAAAACACAAGGGTGCCTTCAGAGCAGGTGCTGTAAGCATGTTGCTCATGACAGATTTTTAATCTCAACTACCTATGTACTCACAAGGTATACCCAGCAGGCTGCAAGTCTCTGCTGCTCAGGAGAATAGCACACATGCTATTCTTCAGTATTAATTTTCAAAGCCCATACTTACAATTATACTACTATGCAGGCTGTAATGAGGTACACAGGTTAAGCAATTCATACAACTGGCAGGATGCTTAGTATTTATGGCTGTACTCCCCAAACAGCTCTTCTCAGCTGCCACACAAAGACTGCTTCAGTTACAAACCTTCCAAGGAAAGCGTTAACAATCCCACAGAGACACTTTTAGAGAGCACACAAACAAATTAAATATTGCAGCTCATTTAAAGATACATGGTCAGAAGAACTACAGATATTATGTACAATAAATAATTTAATGCTAAAAAAACGAACTATGAAGATTGTATATAAATATGACACAACATCCAATGGGATTCACTACCTTTCTCTGCAGATTTACTTTATTATTTTTGCAGAAAATTAAAACTTGGCACTCAATGAACATCACATCTTAAAAGCTCATTAAAAAAAAACTATAATAATATTTTTTAAATAAATTACCAAGCTGAAATATTGAGTTCATTTGTATAGTCACACATAAACACACTAATTAACATTTTGTGAAAGTCACCCTTCACTATTTGCAAGCATCTTAGTGTATATATAGCATGCATATATATATATATATACACACTGTATTTATACTGTAGCATCTTAGTGATTTCACCCCACTGACGTATGTCTTCTGGCCAACTTACCGTACGCTTTTCAGATGTTACTTATATTACAGTTTACAGGAGAGATACTAATATTACAGATTCAAAATACTTCTCAGGTATCACATTATCAGCCAAGTTGAAATGACAGCAAAACTTTTAATTTTATGAAAATATGAATTATATTTTTATTACTAGAATTCAATTATTTTAGCTCACTAAAATGTATCATTCTAAACATAATTCATAAACCAAGAGATGAAAAACTGAGTACAATCACTGTTTCTTTCACACGTACCCATTGCCTTTTTTCCTACGTTCAAATATGACTCTCTTCTGAATAACACAATACACATGTAGGTGGTAGTAAGAAGTTTTCCAGTGCTTGAGATAGCACATATTCAAGCTTGGAACAGAACTACAGATTACTGTTTTTCAGGATAACTAGCACTCACAAGAAAGTAAATACTATCTTTAATGCCTTTGAAAGGCTTCTCTGATCACACCGTTGTAAATAAACTGCTGACAGTTGAAAAAAGCAAGCGTATTTATCTCAGTACTGATGACACACTGAATAAAGATAAATACCACCAAAATCCGCAAAATACTTTAACATCATCATCTTTTCTATCAAAATAAGCTCAAATGCTAGATAAAACAGTCAAAAGTGTGATTTACTGATCATCACAATCAGTCCGATTACACATCACATTTGAATTTTGGTATATCACGAGGATGGCAGGTCCAACTTCACACCGAATGTTATCACCATGACTGTTTTCCAAACAGCCCTAAGTCCTATGCCAATGTTAGCCTTGCCAGGCTTAAGTGTCAACTGCAATGCAATCCTGGGGAAACTGACTAAAAAAGGAAATAAAACAAATACTATATGCATTCATAACAAAGCAAAAAAACATCAGAATGACAAGAATGCAAAGAAGTCCGGACTGCACTGAACTGAAGAAAACAATACATCCTGCCCTACCCTGTAACCATTAAGACGGATTTTTACCTACTTTTACCACTTTGAAAGAACAGATAAAATAAGACAAAATACGAAAAGCTCAGGGCCAACATCTTTTATTCCTGGAATTATCATGGAAAAGTTATGCAGAAAGTGTAACTTTCCAAGGAGCACACAGTATCTCAAACAATATGCTTTATTCTCCATCCTGCTGATATGTTCTCAAGTTACAGAACTGCAAGCACTGCCCAAAAAGGCATCCCTCTTACAATTTTTTTTTATAAAACCAAACTGCAAATTCCAGCTACTCACTAAAAAGTGTTTTTCTTCAACCAGAAGGATAGTTTTGAATGATACTATGAGAGGCAATAAAGAACTGTTAACTGCTGTAGAGATATAAATAGAAAATAAAAGTCTTTTAAGAGTCTTCTTCCATAGCCACATCCTCTTGTAGCTGCTGCACCATTTTGTCCTCCAGCTGTTTTGGTGTGCCTTCAAAGCAAAGAAAAAAGTTAAATTCAACATGTCTCTCTAAACACAAGTAACTGTTGTTCTCTGGACAATGTCTATTCTAGGAGTTTAGGAGTAACCCATCAAGCTTACAAATATTTATGGCTAACCTCTATCACCACCTAAAATTACTCAAGGTTTCAACAGAAGAGCTGATGCTGGTTTTATGCAAAATCTAAAAGCATATATTTTCATGTACTATGATGAACTTTGATAGAGCTCTTAGCAGAATCTTACAAAGGACTATAAAAATGCATTACTTTTAACAGATCAATGGCCTTCATCCATTAGTTTTCATACCAAGATTTAAGCCTTCCTGAATGCTGTTTTGGATGACAATTGTGTTAGCTCCCCATAATACTATCAAAAATAATAAAATCCAGGGCTGACATTTGATTCTGCTCTCCTGAAGGCCCAGCGGGAATTGCAAAGCACTGAAAATGTAGCTGTAATTTGACAGATGTGCTGCACACTATTGTGCATCATTCAGTTACCATAAGCAAAGGCAAACAACCAGGTTTATTCTTCTGAATTCAGATCTTTTTACATTTTCTCCTTCTTCCCTCAAACCAAAGTTTAAATTTATCCTAACAAAAGCTTGTTTGACACAAAAAACCACGGAGACAAAACCACTGGTTATTTTTATAAAACAGTAACTAATGGAAACTTCCCTCCATTACACTACTTCATTACCTGTATTTTATAAAAGACATCATCTTTACAATCCATTTTATCAACATCCTCTAACACAAGGCAGTGCTTGTAATAGTTTAGAAACCAAAAAATTATTTAGGAGAAAGAGATTTCTCCATCTGAAAAACTCAGTTCACTAACAAAGCATACACATTATTATACCTGAAATAGGCACAGATTTTGGTGAAAGTTTGCAAAATTTCCATGATATTTTAAATACTGCTAGGCTTACACTGAAGAAACAGTATTTTCATGCAAGTTTCACTATACACAGTGAACTACAATAAAACCTACTCTCAAAATTAGCTAAGAAATTCAAAAAGCAGTTTAACCACTGAATTTTGTATCAATCAATGGTATAGTCTGTTGAGTTCAAATAACCAGTTCAAAGGAAAGACTTAAATAGATGTATTGGGTTAACAAACACACAGTACATACAGTATCAGATGTTGAGTGCAATTTAAAATACTCAAATAAGGAAAAGCCCAGCATGCAGAACTGGCTAAGTAAAATGCTACATGTGACTCAGACCAAAGGCACTGCTTATGTTTAGTGGCAAGAGCTATTCTTATATTCAATAGACATATTAATTATAAGAAAAATGCACAGGATTTTGATCTGTAGAATTAGTTATATAAAAAAAAATCATCATTAAATTGTATACATAAATTAACCTAAGATAACGAGGTAAAGCAAGTTCTTACCTGCATGTGGAGCACGAAGAAGGTGGATATTCTGTTTGACTTCTTTGATGTCTTCTGCCTTCTGCAACTCTTTGCTCTTCTTTAATCTGGGGAGGGGAGAAATTAAATTCCATTACCTTCAAAGAGAAGATGTGTATTTTTGTTCCACTGCAAGACACATCTTTAGCTAAAGGTACGAAACTGTAAATAACTATAATTATAAGGAAATAAAGTATTTGAAAATGAATTCAAGCATATACTGGACACAAAAGAAAACAAACAAACAAAAAAAAATCAACAAAAACCCAACAAAAGCCACTACTACACCAACTTTTACCAGAAATTTGTTTAAATCTAAGACTGTTTTACAAACAAGGAAATATAACTATTATCAGGTGTACAAAACTACATTTCACTGAATAGCCAATGAAGCATAGTGGTTTGGTAGCATAGTAGAGCCCACTCAAACTATTCCACCCCATTGCTTGGATGACTGTGTCTGTACAAAGCAAATAACCATTTACAACTTTCAATAATCGTTTCTCTGGAAAGACTGACTGACTAAACAGGTTTGTAAGAGCTCCCATAATATAAATAGTTCTCCTCACCTGTTCATAATAAATCTAGCTTGACGTTTTTGCTTTATTTCCTCCACTCTCTTCATTGCATCAACTGAAATAAAGCAGAAGTTGTTTTAAGTATGCTTACATACCTACAGTTGAAAACACATGCCAGTTTGCGGAGCAACAGACACAGTATTCCATAATACCTCTATAGCAGAAGCAACTGTCATAGCATAGAGGAAGTTATTCCTTTCTCTGAAGAGCAGTGCAGAGAATATTCCATGTAGCAACTATGGTAGATTGTATTTTCAAACTTATTTATACTTCCACTTTTGTGTCTACATATATTTTCTACAATTAACCATCAATACAAAAGACTCTTACTCTCCTTGAGGTCAGATGCAAGCTACCACTTTCTCCTATGTGGCATTTGTTCATGACATAAGTAATTCTTCTACTTTATAGCAATTGATTTATTAAACCAACTGAAGTGGAATGAGTGGGAAGAAAGAAACAAGTGCATCAGTATAACGGTGTACACTGGAAGCCTCTTAAAAAGCTGGAGAACCACTAAGGTTTTTTGAAGATCATTCAAAAAAAACAGTTTTGGGGGAAAACAAAAAAAACACAAAGAAACAAAGAAAAAAAAAAAGCCCAAGAAACCAAATCCCCACCCCCAAAAAAGCCCCAAACAAGGGCAACTCCACATCTGTTCACAACTCAAACCTCCTCCACATATAAGAATCTGGTCATTATCCCAATAATTTCACATACAATTAATACAAAGTGTATCTATGAAGTCTTCTGAAAACATTTTTATATACAGTGAGTGTTCACTCCCCAAAGTTCACCTCTTGTCTTTTTCTACAGTGACTCACCAGTCTTGTTCCATAACTCTCTCTGGTATTTCACTGGTTCATTCCTACGTTTTTCAAACTCAAATGAATTATCCTGTATTAAGAAAAAGTAAATACAGATCATATACAAAGCATATTTAGATCAATACATTCTTCCTATAGCACTCACATAACTTGTATTTCACGTGGTATTTTTCCTCTCTTTCAGAATCTCAATTTCTGTACTCTATTTCCTTCTATTTTATAGTAATCCCTAAAGGTTGTTAGAGTAGAGAGTTTGACCTCAAAGTGTCAGAAGCCACAGTGATTTGTCTGAAGAGAAACATTCCCTCAGCTATTTTCCTTTTAGCGAGTCAAAAGGAACAGAGAAGACCAATGTGAAGTGGGAAATACAGAGTAGACTAGACAGGTGGAAGGCAAAATTGGAAGCATGTAGAGTAAGAAGCATTTAATCCAGGTCAAGTAAGTTCTGCTCAAGAGCCTGTATTTTGAAAAGGGTAAAAAAACCCAAAAAATCCAAACCCCAAAACTATTTCATTTTAAGAATATTGACACAATACAAATTAATTTGAAATTGTTGAATATTTCCTTCGAGGACAGTGGAGTTGGGACAGCTGGAGGTTTTTCTTTTTGCTGTTTAGGATTTTTTCCCCCAAGAGCTTAAGATGGAAAAATAATTTCCTCACTTTTTTTTTGTTAGGCATGCTTAGCTTTAATCCAAATTTATCTGAAGACTTTTCCCTCCCCAAAGGTTCTTTCTTGTAGTGGAGAAGCAGAGTTATCAGACCAGCTGCTGACCTTTACTTGAGCAGTTCCAAAGACAGAAACTACACAGAACAGCAAGAAATGGCACAAACGCACTCACAAGCCATGCTTTATTGGCAGATGAATGCTAGTTTTCACTAGGGGATAGCATTAAGCACATACGAGCTGCAGAGCACACCGTACACTAACATCTACATGCCACTCTACCTCTTACCAAAAAAATAGTCAAAAAGAACCTAAAATTCATTTTCAGCCAAGCATGACACAGCACCACATCAATTCACCGCAGTTTATCCCAAGTCAGCTTCTACATATTTATAACATATTGTTCTGTATCCTGAGAACACACCACAAACAGCAAAAACAAGTCCCACAAGAGTACAGATGTTCAAAGTGCCAGCGTCTTCTAACCTACACCCACAGAGATAAATTACAGCTACCTCATACTGGCCAGTGAATCTTTTCAATTCCAAGTATGAGGGGACAGACTGACCAACTCTGCCTCATTCTGAGTGACAGAATAAGACAGTCTTCCAAAAATACCTGATAGGATTATATCCTCCTTCAATTTTTTTAATAAATGTATATATATAAAAACAACAAAAAGGCATAAAACACTTGAAACCCATGAAAACAAGTATGTATTTAACCCCTTCCAATGTACCCGCTTAAAGCTGCAAGAACTGTCACCTTCCTACAAACTACAGTACTTCCCATTGTCACAAGCCTATTTAGACAGTTTCCCCAAAGCTGCCTCCTGAAAGAACAGATACCATCTGAACTACAACAAAGCACTGTGTTTCTATATTGATTTAACTCTTAGCATATAATCTCAAAACTGGAGCATACTGTCACCTATTTAGACATGTATAAAAGAATTTTTAATTACGTTATTTTCAAAAAAGGTAACTTAACTCAGCCCAAAACAGCTTGAAAGCAAGAAATATAATTACAGAAGGTTCCAATTAATCATGGCTTCTCAGAGTCACATTACAAAATAAAATCGTATTCTTCCCCTTGGAAGACCCACAGAAGGCAGCAAATCAGTGTCAAAATACTTACTAAATTGTTGATTATCTGTTTTTTGACAGAACACTCAGTCACAGTAATTCTTGAATTGTTTAAGAACTGCCCCATGAAATATGAGTATTCAGTATTTTTACCACTGAAGTAATTTTTGTTTTGATATTGTTTCTAAGATCTCACATGCTGGTTTTGAAACATGCCTACCTCTGCAAGGACTTTCTCTATATGCTGATTATTTTAAAGATACTTCAGAAGGTAACCATCTTACTGTGTCTACACAGAGAGACTTCCTGGAGTACCCAGTAACCCAGATTATCTGATTGTGCAGAAATACAACTACCAAATAGGTATATACAGAGGGTAGAGCATTTATATAGAGAAAAAAAATGCCTCTGATGTGGGAAGCACCATGTGTTACTGATACACCTGATACACTGGCTTCCACACCAAAGCTGAAACAGGAAGTTCCATGTTACAGTCAAGACGAATGAACAGCTCACTCGAGAAAACTCTCAGGTCACTGCCACAATCCCTCTTTTCTCCACTTACTGTCTGTCACATTCAGCCGACTGACCTAACCTGTTTGCAACTGAAGAGGCTGGATTTCTGCCATTTTAGTGAGTTAAGTGTAAACCACGACAACTTCTTACCACTGTCAGTTCTTTGCCAGCTGCCTTCCGGAATGCTTTGGTCCACCTCATCTTTCTGGGATTTCGCTTCCTTTTAAAGTTTCTGTGGCACTTTGATTTGCAGAATCTAAATATCTTCAAGAAGATGCGGAGGAAGAGGAACAAAACAAAACAAATGCTTACATTCAAATCGTAGAATCTTTGAATAGTTTGGGTTGGAAGGGACCCTCACCGGTCGTCTAGTTCCAACCCACCTCAATGGGCAGGGACATCTTCACCTAGGTCATGTTATATCTGCCCCACTGCAAGCATGATATCAAACGCTGAAGTTTCTCTAACAACATTGCTCATAAAAAATTACATTCATCCCACAAATGTCAATACTTTTAGTTCAAATACCGCTATTAACAAGAGGTTTCAAGCATATCCTCGTTCTTTCATTTACAGCCATTTTCACAGTTCTCAAATATTTACAATTAAGCTGATTATAAATAAAATATAGCAGACTTGTGAGAATCAACTGCAAAAATAACTATAAAGCCAAACCTGTACTATGAATAAACAATTGTCTATACCTGTCAGCACTTTCTAGACACAGCACCATCCTGACAACAAAAAATCCTCATACCTCTCACATAATATTTTTGAATGCAATACACACACACACACACAAAGTCTATCTTCTGGAGTGTAGCTTTAAGCCTTAAAGATTACCCTGCAGCAGGACTCCTAAGCACATCAGTTAAGTCCTGGATTGAATTTAGTGAAAGCTATTTTAAAGCATATACCAAACCATTCTAACTGACCTTTTTTCTCACACACGCCCTTTCCATTTTTCTACAGATTCTAGACTGATTTTAGGTACCTGTCACTGCCTGCCATCAAAGCACCTTATGCTCATCTGGGTGATGTTTTCAGGCCCATTAAAGATGCATTAAAAACTTCACTACTCATAATTTAAATTTCCCCTTTGCTGGTACTGCAATGATGTAATTAACAGCCAAGCTGGAGAACAGCCTCTACTGCAAACTGTGCACATCCAACAGAGATTTTCCAGTCAAAAACAGTACGCGGCAAGGTGCCAGTTAGGGCATGGGGGGAGGAGGGAACAGGCAATACACATAATCATACCCCTATCTGCAGTTCTTAATATTCCTTAAATCTGCGCATCCCTTGAACTATCCTGGCCTGGCTGGTATCCAAAGCAGAGCTGGAACTTGACTTCAGAATACTAAAAATTAAATTCGTTATTAATGAGGTTTTGAAAACCCTATTTTCTTCAATCACACACTCCTTCCCATCTAAAGTCATTTCTAGAGAAAATGAATAGAAAATATGAAACTTATAGAGAAGAGAACCAGCTTCGAGTAACTGTATTTTATTAAATGCTTCTACCATGTTTTTTCAGCTTACCCCAATCAAACCTGCCGTTGCATTCAGCTCTTTCATAGGTTATCAGTTCACAACTCTCCTGCCATTGTGCTACTTTTTCCAACACACACCTTGTGGCCATTTTCTAGTAAATGGGACTGTGCCAGCCTACATATACCTCTAAACTCCCAGAAACTGTACCTCAGAAGCTGACCCAGGCTTTGACACCCAAGCACGGGAAGGAAGCTATCCGTAAGCTTCGCTGCACCCTGGGGCCTGCAGTGCCCTGTAATGAGCTCAGCAGCGGCCGGGAGACCACTCACAGTTTTACACAGGACTGTCGCCGCCTCGCAAAGCCCTCAGTGCAGCGCTCGTCCCGCCGACGGCCCCAGCTGGGTGAGTCCCACCAGGTACCCGCTGAGGTATCGGTCACCACAGCACGCGTAACGGCCAGCGCGGGCCGCGCGGTGGGTGAGGCCGCCCCATACACCTCGCGACCCCGGCACGGCTGCGCTGGGCGGAGACACCGCGGCTCCGGCAGCACGAGGGAAGCGCTGCGCCCCCGGGCGGGGACCCCGGCAACACGGGGGGGTGTAACCGAGCCGCGAGAGAAGCGCACACGGGGGACGGGGATAAGGCCGCTGCCCGCTCCCGCAGCGCGGCTGCCTTCGGGGCCCCACGTGTGACAGGGGAGGCCTCCCCGCAGCTGCCGGGCCAGGCCCAGCCGGGCAGGCGGTGAGAGGCAGCGGGAGCCGGCGCTGCCGGGCGGTCAGTACCTTGCAGTCGTTGCGCACGAACATGACGCCGTGCCCCGGGTAGATGGGCCCCGAGCAGAAGTAGCACTTCTCGATCCGCATCGCGCCGCGCGCCCCGCCGGAACCGCGCGCTCAGCTGACCGGAGGCGGAGCGGCGCCGCCCGGCAGAGAGGCCACAGCACCCCCTGCCGGCCGCGGGGCGCCAAGCGGCGGTGGAAGCGTGCCCGGGCGGGCGGTTGGGTTTGAGCTGGGAAAGGTGCACGGCTGTGCAAGGAGAGAGACCTACGGTGTTTTAGCGACAGCGGGATCGCTACGGAAAGTAAAGCAGGGCAGGCATACGGGGAAGGGGGAAGGCATTACTGCTCCGAAAGCGAGAGAAGGGGCCACAGGGCCAGCCCCTGCACAATGCTGGGGCCAGGTTGTAGGAAGTTCTCACTGCTGTGCTCTGGGGGAAGCTATAGGAAAGTCCCACGCGTTGGCTGACTGGAGCCACAGTTGCTAAGTCACTGCACAGAGGTACTGGGGGCAGGGCTGAGAAAAGCAGTAAAAACGCCAAAAAGCACGGACGTGTTATGTTGACTCACCGGATAGACCCATCAGCCCCAGACATGCCAGGTGCAGTCATGACACCGAGAGCATGGTCCAGCCTTTGAATGCACTAGAGAGAATCCTGTTGAGAGCTGGGAAATACTCATGCCCCTGGAAGCATTATAAAACCTCAGAACCCCCGGAAAACAGAAATGAACCCCATACACAGAAATGAAGCTGGGGTAAACTCTCAGACAATACTGCATCTCCAAATCTAAGCTGACTTTTCTCTTTCCCAAGTGACCCTCTGCTTCCCTGAAACACGTTTGTATCTTAGTATGGAAATCAAATACAAATGAAAAGATTTTGTGATCAGCTTGTGTTTGATCCCTTCTGGCTTCTCATTATGAATGCTATGTTACAAATTAATGAAGCTGAAATAGCTCAGTATTAATATAAGGATAAAGACGGTAGCCCATGGAAAGGGAGTCAGACACAGATTTTTAAACCTGTAATTGATTTACTCTGGAATTCAGACAAATCAGTTTCTGCTCCATTTCCATATTTGTAAGATCCAAGCTTCCTACAGGGGAATTAACTTTTAAAGCAAAATTTGAAGTACTGTCTAAAAGTGATGGCTCTGCATGCATTACCCTAAGGAACCCGTTGCTCCTTCTGGTCCCCTCCTACAAAGTTACCTGTTTATCATGAAAGGTTCTAAATCCTAGGCCCTGTACCTTCCTAAACTGTTTGCAGTTGGAGCTCTGCAGTTTTAGAGTCTGACATCTTCCTCACCACATAAGGCTTTAAAACCATAATTCCTGTTTCTCCATTTAAAAGAAATTACCTGAGTATTTGGTAAAAAAAAAATCCACGTGTTGAATTGCATGTTCCCTAAGGGCAGTTTTAGCTTTCTGGTTTCTAGAACGACAGAAAAAGGCAGTTAGCTTGGGGCTATATGAAGAAAAGATGGAAGAAAATAAAAGAATAGCCTTAGCTCAGTCATTAACCTTATCAGCACAGAACTTGTCTCCAATCTATTTGCAAACCAGACCTCAGCCACATCCTATTGCAGGAGACAGAGGCTAGAGCATATGACTTGTGACTAGCACTCACCCCCAGCCCTGAGGAACAACAGCTCTGAACTGACTCAGAGCCAGAAAGCAAGATAGGACTGTACAGGATATTAGCTAGGCTCACGCTGCACGCCGGAGGGAAGGCTCTGTGGCTGTGACAGAAGATGGCAACCTGGCTGATAAGAGGCAATAGTAGACACACATACACAAAGCAACTTTATGAGGGAAACTACGAAGACACTGAGTTTACAGCTAGAGGCAAAACCAAACAGTAAACAAGTTTGCTTAGGTCTAGGGCTGCTGTGCTTTGGCATATGCAATTGCAATCCTCTTTTTCAGTTTGATTACTTTGAGTTTCCTGTTCATGTGACTTTATTTTCCCCTATGGGCTGTATTTATTTCACTGAAAACAGCTTTTTCTGGCGGAGTACTGTATTGTGAAGTCTTTGGTGGCTTCTACAATTTAAGCACTGCCAATTACAGACTGTCACCAACGCCTCCAGCAGACAGATGGGATGTGAGAGCACAGTGATACTACAAGCATTTGTAACTAGACTCCCCTCAACACCTTTCTTCACACCAAGGCGCTAACCTCCTCTTCAAGTACAAACCATTGTGCTGTGGATTGCAAGTGCTTATTCCTGATCTAAAAGCAATTTATACTGAAGGTTGCTGGAGCCAGAATCCAGTTTAATTATAAAAAATGAACAAGTACTTCTACTCAATTAAGTTACTCACAGACAGAATTAGGTATCCAGCTGACAAACAGCTTCACTGTAAGAGATTCTGCAGCAAACTGAGCTTGTTTAATTTCTGACACAGATTACCACAGCAAGAATTGTTTCACCAAACATCTCAGCTTCATATGTTAAACTCATAGCAAAGGTCTGGTCTGCAAATATTTAGGTACTTGTCCAAGTTTCTTAATGTAAGTAAACATTCATATAAACTGTTGTGTACAACCGTATATAAGAACTGACAACTGTCAGGCATGTGCACTTGTAGGACAAAGCATACAATCATGTCAGTTGAAAGACACTTCTCAGGTCATCTAGACCAAAATCCTGCTCAAAGCAGGGCAAATTAACATCAGGTGGCTCAGGGCCACATCCAGTTGAGATTTTGGTGTCTTCAAGGATGCAGATTCCATAACTTTCCTTAGCTTCTGCTCCAGATTCTAACTACTTGTATAGTTACATTCTTTTCCTAACAAGAACTTTTCTCTGCTGCCTCTCTCCTATCCCTATTCTATGCCCTCTGAGATGGGTCTGGCTCCAACTTCTGTATACCCTCCCATTGGATAGTTCAAGACAGAGGAAAGGTCTCCCTTAGTTTCCTCTTCTAAAGCTAAGCAAACCCAGTTCCCTCTCCTCTTATCCCTTGTTCTCCAATTCTCTGATCCCACAGGCATCCACTGCACTCGCACCGGTGTGAGTACATTGGGGTGTCCAAAACAGAATGCCAGATGTGGTCTTACAATTACTGGAATACCCAGTCATACCTGCCCTTGTTAAAATTAATGAGGTTTGGTTCAGCTCATTTCTCTCACCTGTCAAGGAACCTCTGAATAGCAGCTGTGTCCTCCAGCATATCATAACCTACTTAGTAATACATGCTGCTCTTGATTGTGAAAACTCAGGCTCCTTACCTTTGTGGAAGCTACAGATTTTACAAGATGTACCGTGTGATTCCCTTTGCTCTGAACATGCTACATGCTCACATTAGCAGCTTTTTGAATGTTTTATGAATACAGAAGTGTTGCCTTTATTTTCTTCTATGGGTCTGAGCTCCTTCTGGCACCACCCAGGATGCATCAGGGCCCCATCTGACTGGTTTGGTCAGTGCATCAAGAAGTACCAAGGCCACAGAAGAGAACTGAAAAACCCACAACACATAGGGACAATGAAGAAAGACACAGACTGATACTGAATTGAGACAACAGGAAATGTTACAATTCAATTCAACAAATGCCGACAAGATTCAGGTCAAGAATGTTTAACTATTTTATATTGGGAAGAAAACCTGGGACAATGCATCATAATAATTTCCAAAACTTTGTTCCATTACAGATCCATGTTTTGGTCTGATACTGAATAGAGACAGCTTTTCTAGAAATAACAGTTTCTCATCACATGAGAATTCTTATTTGTTTGTTTTGTAAAACCAGGACTAGACCAGCAACAGTAGCATAACTCACTGTTAAGGAACATCTACCAGGATCTCTCATGAGAGTTAAAAAGGGAACAAAAGTTTTAACACAAAATAATTCAAACAGATAAATCTTATGGCACATTTCAAAGGCTGACATCGAAGCAATTTTATGTAGACTCTTTTTATATAGTAAATAGTTACATATAATATCCATGACAAAAATATTACAGCTTTTGTATTTAATATCCAATCTAAGTATTCAAAAGAAAATATTTTTACAACATTTCAGTAGTCACTTAGCTCAGTAGTTGGTTGTAATAATCCTTAATGTTTTCAGGAACTGGATGGAGCTATAAGCACAAAAACTCCTATTAAAGTTAATACATGACAAAGTTCCACTGCAACCCTCTGAAAAGCAAAGAGTTACATTAGAAGAAATTCAGACACAGAAGTACACTGAAATATGTTGTGTCCTACGCAGAGCCGGATACTCTACTGGTAAGAAACATGATGGTAACTTCACAAGGCACTCCGAATTAAACTACAGTAACTCCAGTCCACAAGCATTTTAGAATCTTGGTATTGTGCAGTATAAAAAAACCCAGACCAACCCCACACCTATATTTATTCAGTATAAATTGGTTTAATCTCTGTCCTAGCCCCAGAGCAGTCAAATTATATTGCACTTATAAAATATTCTGTGTAGGCTGTGATAAAATCTAGTATTTACACACTGTGTTTGTTAAAGAACAATGCAATGTAAAATATTTTAAGAACCAAGATTTAACACTAATTCTTGTATTACTAATATAACCAGAGGCTACATTAAAAAAAAAAAAAAAGTATATTTTATTAACTCCTATTCTAGAAACATTTTTGGTCCTTCAGAAAACTTGTGCTGCAATTCATGTTCACAACTGGTATCAATGCCAGCCTGAAACTGCAATAGTCAGAATATTTAAATAAATAAAAACATGATTTCTGAAGACGTAATAGCTTCGGAGTTCTGTAAACTGGCTGCTGAGGAAAGTCTGTAACAAGACTCAATTTGGCATATGTTACTTTAATTGGCAATACCTTACAGTTATACAACCTCTGCCAGGGTAGAAAACAGTTTGGTAGGCACATCTTATAAATCTGTCTGGAAAAAAGACCCAAAAAATACTGACTGTTCCTTAGTTATATGAACAATTAAAATGATCAAAGAGTAACATGATCCACTGAAACCAAAACTGACATTTATGTGATTTGGGGGTGGCGAGGTGGGGGAAAGGGGGGAGAAAATTCTGTCTGTTCTTTTTTAAATACAACCTAAAGGAAATGAACAAACCATAAATGAATATATGATAAACATGAAGTACAGGACACAAAGGTTGGCAGAATAAAATGGGCATAATAAATTTATAGAAATACTGATCTAGACAG